TGGTTGTGCTCAGCTTAGTCTTAGTTGCTGGGGGATTTGAGCTGGTGAGCTGTGATCCTGCTGTTTGGCTTCGAGTTCGTGGTCGTGCCGCATCTTCATGGTGGGGGTCAGTTCGCTTCATGTATGGCTCGGAGGGGTTTGAAGTGGGTAGTGATGCAGCTGCAGTGTGGCTTATACATATATGCAGCTTATATATATACGTATATGTATATGTATATGTATATGTATGTATTTATACAACAATGTAAAACTAAGTATTGTTATTGTTTATAATCTATGATGGTCTGTAACCCTCTTAATTTTCTAATTTTATTTAATCATTTTAATAAATTAATTAAGTATAGTTCTAAATACAATAGCTTATATAGTAAACATATATAATTCAATAAATATAGATAAATATGTGTTTGATTGTTTTCTTTTCTTATATACTATATCTTATAACTTTCTTATAGTTCAATTAAGCCTATGAATCAATATATAGCCATTAATTAGTTGTACATCAATTGATTAATTAGTTGTTATCCATGGTATCAAATTGTGGAAAAATTTAAAGAATATATAGGGTATAACAGTTATAAAGAATCTAGCAATCTATGAAATAGGATACATAAATTAATTCTTCTTGCAAGCAATCAGATATATAGATAGATAGATAGATAGATAGATAGATAGATCGATCGATCTTTGGTTATTCGTGTTTTATCCCGCGTAAGATTGGAAGTATCTAGGCAACGTTTCGATGAAGTCTCATTCATCATCTTCAGGCTTGTGTCTTCGGCTCTTTGCTTCTCAGAGTAATGTGAGCTTGCATATATATATATTGCTTTAGATTTTTTTCAATATACACTTTTGAATTTAATACTTAGAAATTATTCAGCTTTCTTCTTCTTTCTTCTTTTTTCCCCTTTCTTCTGTCACATTACTTTCCTCATTTCCTGTTTCCTCAGTCCTCTTTAACTACTTAGTCACTTTCACTCTCAAATTGCACAGTCACAGCATTCTATGAAAATGGTTCCACTCTCCGTTCAACTATAGTTCTCCATTAAAGTTCCAATTGTTCTCTCTAATGTCTCTTTTCTGCTCTACCAGTAATCAATCCAAATCGTAGAAATTTTGAGTTTTTATTCACAGAGTCTCGATCTTTTCTTCTGCGGTACTCTCTCTCAGCTGTTAAACTGTTGTTTCCTCCTCTCCCTTTCACTCCACTATCCCCCACCAATTAGCCACTGTATTCACTCTCTCCGGAGGCTTCCTTTGTCAAAGTCTTTCACAGGGCTCTCTCACCTCTCAAAAACTGTCCCAGTCTGCTGTTCTCCTTCTGATGTCTTGCGTTGATCCACTTTCCTGCTTCCCAATCGCAGCTGGCTGTCACAGCTTCAGATCTGCCAAGGATGCCGGGTTTCTTTTGTGCTGGATTCAAAGGGCTTCCCCTCATTGCAGTGGGAGGTTGCTTTCCTCCACTCTGCTCCTAGGTTTCCCCTTGAAGAGGGTTTTCCACAAGGAAGAGTCATTCAATGTACTTCTGAACTAACTAGTCTTAATTTTTGATGTCTACCAGATGAATAGGAGATTTTTCCATTAACATGGTTTATTGTATCAGAAGGATATTTTAAGGAATAATCCAACCTTGTATTCTAGCAAAAAATGTTTGATATATCTAATAAAAGAAAAAGAAAAAGTATTCCTCTAATTTCTTAGATTCTCAGTGTTTAACTTCTAAATTAATTGCATTTTCATTTATAACAGACACAACCTCTTTCTTTGTGCAATGATTATTGCTCCTTGGGGTTCAGCAAGATCAAAATAGAAGGGAAGCAATTTTGCTGTTACAAATGCCTCCGTTGCCCAGAAGGGGAAATTGGCAACCAGACAGGTAAGAGATATAATTCAAGAAGAATTGGTGTTGGTCAGTTCTGAAGGTCAATAAATTCAAAGCATTACCCAGGATTTTGATGTTGGGTCATTTATCCCTGCTGATGCTTAAAAAGAATGATTGTAACCACAACAATCATGGTATAGTTCCAAATGTGGCCCCAACTCGCAAATGACCACTGGCACTTGAACTAGTTTTTATATACAAATCTATATATAAGTCTAATTGCTATTGCTATTTCAGAACCACTAGAACGTCATCTAAATGTTTCCAGGATTAGGGTTAGGATGGTTGGTGTGTAAAGCATGACATTTTTGTTGAACAGATTCACCATCCTTCACTTATTTTCTATTCTATACTTCCTTTTTTCATTTCATATTTATTCTGTTTTCATGCTGTAAGCCATTTAAAATCAGCAATGACAAAATAAAACAAATATATAAATGGTAAATGATAAGTGAAGGATATCAAACATCACTGATATAGACAGATTTTTTCCAGTCATCCTGAGTCTCATTGAAAGTGCCATCTAGATGGATGTAAAAATATGTCCATCCCAGACATTTATGGATACAAAGGACTAGCCACATGGAAATAATCTTTGTGCTTAGGCCCTCCACCTAAAGAACTCTAAACCAGCTCTTCATTGTATGCCACTTCCCTGAAGGAGCATGTGATTCAGCCCTTGTTAACTCCTGTTTAGCCTACTGTGATTTCTTTCAAAGGAAGAGAATACTATCTATGTAGTTCAGGTTTGAACTTTGGAGTTATTGGTGCTAAGCTTAGTTGTTTGCTTGCAGATATTTCATAACATGATAGATAACATCATCAAAGCTAGTGGGTGAAGGGTTTACTCCCTATTTATATACATTAGCTTTGCCTGCCAGTGTTGGGGAAAATTTGGTTTTCACCTTAGTTGTTCTTTGATTAGATTATCATTTTCTTGTCTGATTTTAATTCCTGCTTATCTGGATATTGGTTGCTCAATGGGATGTGTTCTGCTCTTTTTGTTTCCTTCCTAGCTTTTTTATTGTCTCTTTTGAATGCTGTATCAGTCTAATTTATCTCCATAGTCCTGATCAGTAGGGCATTATGGGCTCCATAGTATAAAACAACAATGTACTAAATATAACTTGATAAATATTGCCATAATAATCCCTATCAAAATCTTCTTACACAATGAGCATAGAATATAGATAACTTCTTTGCAATTCATGAGCTCATCATTAAGAGGAAGGCTATTCTGTTTTTGTTTTCCCCTCCCATTTTAAAAGGAGGAGGAAGAGGTGGAGACATACTTTCTTATGGTGCTCTTTTGAGAGAGTGCATTGGTTTCAGATTTGAGCTAATTGCCTTTAATTGTGCCTTTTTTACATTGACATGTACTTTAAAAAGAGAGAAAAAGATTATTATACTCTTCACACAGTGTAATATCAAGACTTGCTTCCTCTAAAGCAAGGTGTTAAACTGGATTTCTTCAAGAGCCGGATCAGCATTACAGTTATCCTCTGCGGGCCAGTGGGGTGGAGGAGGGGGAGGCAGAACATATGCCATCTGCAGCACTCTGCAGGCCAAAAACAGCTCATTTCCAGCCCATTTCCTGGCCCATTTTGTCCCATTTTGAGCCCTTTTTCAGCCCATTTTTTGGTCATTTTCAGCCCACTTTGCGGCATTTTTCAGTTGCTTTCCAGCCCATTTTTGGCCAGCAGAGTGCTGCAAGAGACCATGGAGGGTGAGAAAGAGGTGTGAGGAGCCACATGCAGCCCATTTTAGCCACCAGAGGCACTGCAGGCCAGTCCTTTGATATTTCCACAGTTAAGCACCCCACTTCAAAGCAATAGCATGGGTTGAAGATTCAATTCAATTTCAACTGTACAAATAGAATGAAATGACATATGAGTGATTTTCAAGGATTTGTTCTCAGATAAGTTAGATTTAAAACTATCCCAGCCCAAGCTTAAATAAATTAGATCCTAAATTTCTAAATTCCCACACTAATTGGTAAATGTCTAGAAAATTCAGGCACTGAAATATATTACTTCTGAAAGTTGCGGATGACAGAATTAACCTGACAGCATTGTTTCCTCTTCCAGGTTTAGATGACTGTTTCCCATGTCCTGAAGAAAACTACCCTAACAAGAACCAGACTCTGTGCATTAAAAAACATACAACATTCTTATCTTACAAAGAACCCTTGGGAACCACTTTAGCCAGTATTGCTTTCTTCTTTTCTTTCATCTCAGTTGTGGTGCTGGGGATCTTCATTAAAAGCCAGGAGACTCCCATTGTCAAAGCCAACAACAGAAACCTCACCTACATTCTCCTCATTGCCCTTCTGTTCTCTTTCCTTTGTAGTTTACTCTTCATTGGGCAACCTGACCAAGTAAAATGTCTCATGCGACAAACTGCTTTTGGGATCATCTTCTCTGTAGCTCTGTCTTGCATATTGGGGAAAACAACCATAGTGGTTCTTGCTTTCACGGCCACCAAGCCAGGTTCCAAAACAAGGAAATGGGTTGGGAAAAGCCTGGCTTATTCTATTGTCTTGTCTTGTTCCTTGCTTCAAATCACAATTTGTAGCGTGTGGCTAGCAACTTCTCCCCCATTCCCAGATTCTGACATCCACTCCATGATTGAAGAAACTGTTTTAGAATGTAATGAAGGTTCAACCATCATGTTTTATACTGCCCTTGGTTTTCTGGGGTTCTTGACTGCTATCAGTTTCATAGTGGCTTTCCTTGCTAGGAAACTACCTGACAGTTTTAATGAAGCCAAATTTATCACTTTCAGCATGTTGGTCTTTTGTAGTGTCTGGGTGTCATTTGTTCCAACCTATCTGAGCACCAAGGGGAAGTTCATGGTGGCTGTGGAAATCTTCTCCATTTTGGCTTCTGCAGCAGGATTACTGGGCTGCATTTTTTTCCCCAAATGCTATATTATTGTTCTGAGGCCCGAATTAAATAAAAAGGAGCAATTAACCAAGAAACAAAAGTAAAACTATCATTCTCTGACTTTCATAAAATGCTGTACTTGCCTCTAAAGAGGGTCTTTTTACCTTTCTATTTCTGTTCTGTCCAACTCTTCTGGGTTTTTTGTTTGTTTTTTGTTTTGGTTTCTTTTCTGTTGGTGTCTTCCTGGCTGGACTTCTAGGTTTTCTTCCACTTCTGAATGTTGCCTTAATGTGATGAAAATTGCTTGAAGAACTTTTCCCTCAGGCCAATCTAAGGAGAGGAAATAAATGCCTCTCCCTCCCCAGTTTTCTCACCTTCTGCCTCATTTCTAATTTTCTCCCTCAACAGGACATTCTGTCTTTCAGTTTGCCTTTTCAGTTTGCCTTTTGGGCTTTGGATTTGTATAAGCCTCTTTTTCATAAAGAATGAGAGCTGCCAAACTGCCACCTTGACTTTTATCCTCCTTCTCACCTTCTGCTTGATGCTGTCATTTGATGGGCAACTCCTGCTGATTGGCTGATTGTGAGATTTAAAAACATTCCAAATTTTATTTTATAGTCACAAATTCAACAGACAACTCTGATGTACATAAAAATGCATTTGCAAATGCAGGCCTCCACGTCTCTTCCCAAAATGGATTGAAATCATGAAGTGCGCCTTTGGGGTTTCCAACAATACTTTATACAGTCCCAATCAATATAGACCATGGCCAAGATCCCTCCCAGTTCCCTTTGTCTGTGTACTTGACAAACACATCCTGTGTATGTGACAAACACATCTTTGACAAACAAATAACACATCCCTGCATACATGACAAATATGACTTCCTTTTGTCCCATTACAACAGGATTTATCTTATCTTGTTTTCTACAGTTTGTTTAGAGCAAGGCCACATTTCCTTGCACATTCCAGTCAAGCTGACACACAATGGTTCTTCCTTTACAGTTTGTAGCCTTGCTGTTGAATCTTGCGATAAGAGTCATTAACATTTTATAATACAGTTAAATTTATTTTATAAAAGAATAACTTTCTACCCATTCTCACAGCAGGTAGGGTGTCCTAACAATGGGGGTGGGCCAAGAAGAGAGGAAGGATGAAGGAGCACATCTGTCAGATCATTTATCTTTTCACACCATTGTTTTAGTGTTGTTTTAGAATAGAATAGAACACTTTATTGGCCAAGTGTGATTGGACACACAAGGAATTTGTCTTGGTGTAAATACTCTCAGTATACATAAACAAAAAGATACATTCATTAAGAATCAAGAATCATAATGTACAACATTTAATGATAGTCATAGGGTACAATCAGCAATGAAATCATACTAGGAAACAGTCAATATAAATTGTAAGGATACAAGCGACAAAGTTACAGTCCTATAATCACAAGTGGGAGGGAATGGGTGATAAGGAGTGATGAGAAGATTAACAGTAATAGTAGTGCAGACTTTGTAATAGTTGAACAGTGTTGAGGGAATTATTTGTTTAGCAGAGTGATGGCTTTCGGGGGAAAACTGTTCTTGTGTCTAGTTGTTCTGGTGTGCAGTGTTTAGTCTAATATCCAGAGATCTTATTCGGTTAGTTTATTTACAGGAACCAGCAAGAACTTTGAATATCTCTTTTTGATTTTTGATAATATCTGTTTTTGATAACAACCTACTACTTGATAAGTTAGAAAAATCTGGGTTAGACAGCATCATCACCACATGGATTTATAACTGGCTGACCATGATAATAGGTAATAAAGATAATAAAAACAGATCTGTAAACAACTAGAAGCAAATAAAGTTATAACTAGTAGCTAGCATGGGTTTGTTGAAAACAGATCATGCCAAACCAATCTTATTTCATTCTTTGATAAAGTGACTAAATTAGTAGACCAGAGAAATGCTATGGACATAGTATACTTAGATTTCAGTAAAACATTTGACAAAGTAGACAATCTTCTTGATAAGCTAGAAAAATGTGGAATAGACAACATCATCATCAAATGGATGTCAGGGTTCCAATGGGCTTTATGAGTTGACAATGGATTTGTAGATGCCTGACAAACCATACTCAAGAATAGTCCTTAATGATACTGCATCTACATGAAAGGAAGTATGCAGTAGGTATCACAAGGCTCTATCTTAGGCCCCGTACTCATAGAATAGAATAGAATAGAATAGAATAGAATAGAATAGAATAGAATAGAATAGAATAGAATAGAATAGAATAGAAAAGAAAAGAACAGAGTTGGAAGGGACCTTGGAGGTCTTCTAGTCTAACCCCCTACTTAGACAGGAAAACCTACACCATTTCAGACAAATGGTTATCCAACATTTTTTTAAAAAAAAACTTCCAGTGTTGGAGCACGAGTAAACAACATGTATCATTTGGAAAATGGATGGAAGATGAATGCATCAGGTGAAGGTACTACATATTGTTCTTGTATAAATGAACATTTAACTATGTTATATGTACCTAAACTGAAATTTAATTTGCTATCAGTAAGGGCTTTAGTTTATCTTGGTTATGTAGTAACCTTTAGGAGAGATAACTGTATAATAGAGAAAGAGGGTAAAAGTGTTACTGCTACTTTAAAGAATGATTTATATGTAACACATGATGACCAGTTGAAGATGGCTAACTCAGTTTATAACAATATTAAGCCACGTGATGAATGTATACATTTATTGCATAGATGTATGGGGCACATAAACTGTTGAATTGTCAGAGGGAGTAAAATTGAAACCCTGTAGCAAGTATTTAAACTGTAATGCTTGTAGCCAAGATAAAAGTAAGGTTACTCTGCAAACAGACTTAATGGGTTTAAGACCAAAGAACCTTTAGAGGTTGTGTTTGCTGACATAATTGGTCCTAAAAAACCAAGTTTAGGAGGTGCCTGCTATATTTTGAGTATTATGGACTATTACTCAAGATACGGTTTCTGCTATCTTATGAAAAACAAAACAGAAACATTCCAACATTTCTTTAACTGGCTAAGGTTTGCTGAGAGAAAAATGAAAAGTAAAGTAATTACTTTAGTAACTGATAATGGGACTGAATTTGTTAACAAAAGATTCCAAACTATGCTGAAATTGGCTGGTGTCGAGCATAAACGTTCTGCACCTTACAGACCACAACATAACTCATTTATATAACAAAGAGGGCAAACATTACAAGCCATGGCTTGCACTATGTTATCTGATTCAGGTTTGCCTGAAACACTGTGGGGTGAAGCCATAATGTGTAGTAACCATGTTTTAAAGAATGTAGTTAATACAACAACTGATGAATTGCCATTCACTCATTGGCATGGCAGAAAACCAAATTTAAGTTACCTGCACACATTTGGAGCTCCAGCTTGGGTGCATATTCCCTCACAAGTAAGACTGAAAGGGCAACATAGAGCTAAGAAGTTATTTTTTTGTGGGTTATGAGGCCAACCATAGATCATTTAGATTCTGGGATCAAGGCACAGCTCATGTTTATTGTAGTGCTAGTGCAAAATTTCTTGAGCACGTTGGATGGGATAAACTGGAACAGGAATCCAGCAATGATATTATTATTGACACCCAAATAGTCCCTAAAGATAAAATCAGTAAACAACAAATAGCCATTAAAGAGGAAGAACAGGCGGAAGTAGGATAACAGGCACAGGAACAGGAGCAGGTGGCACAGGAAAGTCCACCAGTAAGCCCTGTATTACCAAGATGTTCAACCTGAGCAACACAACCACCTGATAGATATCAGGCTAGTGTTGTATGCCAAGTGAATACTTGTATGCCATGTTGTCCAAGTAACTATAGTGAACTAAAACTGTATCCTGCTAAGGATCAGGCTGCTTGGCAGAAAGCAATGGATAAGGAACTGGAATCATTAAAAAGACTGGAGGTATATGAAAATGTTAAGTTACCACCAGGTAAACATGCCATAGGATGTAAATGGATATATAAGCTAAAGACAGGTGTAGATGGGATTTTTACCCATAAAGCCAGGTTAGTAGCACAAGGGACCAATCAGACTGCAAATGACTATGATGAGGTGTTTGCACCTAGTCTGAAGGCTACTACATTAAGGGAAGCATTAGAGTGGGCAGCTAAAGAGAAATATATTGTATCATTTGGATGTAGAGATGGCATATCTGCATGCACCATTGCAACACACTATATATTTAAAGAAACCTTTAGATATCAAAAATGATAACACTGATAATAATGATTGCTGGAGATTAAAAAAGAGTCTTTATGTTTTAAAGCAATCAGGATATGAGTGGAACCAATGTATAGATAAAGAATTAACTAAGATAGGTTTTGTAGCTGGCATGGCTGATCCATGTTTGTTTAAAAAGTAAACTAATGGTATAATTTCATTATTGCTATTGTTTACTGATGACATAACATTAATCACCAAAACTGAACAAGAAGCTACTGAGATAATTTCACTATTGGAAAAGAAATTTAAGACAAAACAATTAAGAGAAATCAAACAATATCTTGGTTTAAAGATAGATAGAACTAAGGGAGGATACAAGATCTCACAGGCAGATAAAATTAACCAATTACTAAAAAGTTTTAAAATGGAACTTTATAAACAGGCTAAAACACCAATGAGCCAGGAGTTTAGCCACAGTGATGTTCAAAGTCCTGTTTTTGATAAGAACATTTATCAGTCCTTGATTGGTAGTTTATCTTATCTCAGTAATTGGTCAAGGCCAGATATAACATACTGTGTTAACCAATTAGCAAGGTTTAGTGCTGAGCCAACTGAAAGGCACTGGCAAGCTGCTAAGCATGTGTTAAGATATCTGAAACAAACAATGCATTATGCATTGTATTTGGAGCCTAAGGATGAACTAAGTCTAACTGCATATGCTGAAGCAAGTTTTGCTACAGACGTAAATACACAAAAATCTACATCGGGTACTGTAGTATTATTGGGGAAAGCATTGATTGGATGGAGGTCTATTAGACAGAAACATCTAAGTTTGTCAACAATGGAAGCTGAATTCTCATGTTTGTCTTTACTATGTACAGATTTAGTTTTGTATAAACAATTATTG